CAGGTATACAAAAATCTAAAATTCCTTGACTTTTACATATTGTTGGAACTTTTTTATTTTGAAATTTTTTAAAATTATCGTCATTAATAAGAACTCTTTTTTTTTGTGATGATAATGATTTTTTAAATATCTCTTCAATATTTTGATTATTTGGAAGTTTTTCACAATTTTTCCATAAAATCATCGCTTGTTCTATAACTGAAAAACGTTGTTCTTGTTCATTTAATATAAATCTACGATAAACATCATTTAAAAATATATCTTGTTCTTCTGTTAATATATCATATAAAGTGATTAAAATATTTTTTAATTCAATGAAATCAATATCATTCATTCCGATATTATTATTTTTATATAATTCAATAATTAATATTAATTCAATCGAATCTAATTTTTTTATATCAATATCATTTAATATTTCTCTTGGTAATTTAGGTCTAAACAAATTAAATGGTCCTTCCGAAAATTTCATCCGTTTACTTATACAATTATCGTCATTATTTTCAATATTATGGGTAAAGTCAATATTATTGAAGTTACTAATTAAATCTTTTAAAATCAAATTTTTTCTTTCAATTATTTCATTTTTTTCAACTTTATCTAATATTTGATCTATTTTCTTGTCCCATAAATAATCCACACAAAAATTTATTATTTTTTTATCAATATTCATATTTTCCAAAATAGTATCTATATCATCATTTTCATCTCTTTCTTTTCTTTTATTTTGATTTGGTTTTTCAATTTCTTCTATTTCATTTTCATTTGATTTTTCGTTTTTTTCATTTAATAATTTATTATAAATTTCTTTTCTAATTTTTTGTAAATCTTCATTTAAATTATTAATATTAATATTGTTTTTAATATCAGTATCCCATTTATTTTTATCTTCAAAATTTTCTAAATTTTCTAAACTTTTATCTTTTCTCATGTTACTTTTAGTCTCTAAGTATTTAAGTTTTTCATTTTTTATATTTTTTAATTCATTAATAATAATTTGATCTTCTAATATATTTTGATCTTCTAATTTCTTTATTTCTTTATCCCAATATTCATTTTTTAAAAAATGTTTAATAGTATTATCTTTCAAAATTTTATTTTAAAAATCATCTTTTCTTTTTAAAATATCATATTTTTTATTTTTTAATAAATTTAATTGAATTTTAAATCCTTTATTAGTAATTTTATTTATTTTATTATCCCATTCCCCATCTGAAAAATTTATAATATCATAATCTTCTTTAATACCTTTAACAATTTCATCTTTTAAAATATCTAAATTTGGTGTCGGTTGAGAAATATTTTCTTCTCTTATTCTTTTATTAAAACATATTTGTGTATTAACTCCTTTTTTTTTATTATTCAATTTACATAATCTTTCATTTTGTAATTCGTCTCTAATCTTAAAATCTTCTATTTTACTTATTATTGAATCCCAATAACCACCATTCTCAAAATCATTTATATTATTTTGTTGCTTCATTTTATTTGTATTAAATAATTAAAAATAATTAAAAATAATGAAATTTATTAAATAATAATAAAACAAATAAAATTAAATAGATTGTTTATACATAGCATTACTAATTAATATTTGTAATCTATTTTCCCTTATATTTTCTAATTCCTTATCACTATTAAATTCATTTTTTATTAAATCTTTATAATAATTAGTTAACTTTTCGATATTTTCTGATTCAGTTATTTCTTTTTTAATTAAAAATTTATATTTATTATTTCTAAAATTATTTAATCTGTTTAATAAATCATTATCAAAACATCTTCCATTTTTTCGAAATTCATTTAATTTATCATAAAATTTTGCACCTTGTTTATCAATAAAATTTTCACTTTTAGAATTACTACTCATTTCATCTATAATTTGTTTAAATTTCTCTTCACAAGATAAAATAATAAGTCTATTATTCATTTTCACTTCCAAATCTTTAATTATCTTTTCATTTTTACAATACTTTTTAAATACTATAATATCATCGAAAAACTTTGACCTATTTTCTATTTTAAAATCTTTTGAAGTATATTCTTTAGAATCCATATCTTTAATAATTGATAAATAAGTTGTTTGACATTTTAATAATAATTGATGTTTGTTTTTTCTATAATTAAATAATTCATCATATGTATTTTTATCATATCCACAATATCCATTTGGTCCAAAAGTTTGATGAATTTCATTATAAAATTTTGATTTTGAACTTTCAATAAAATCTTCAATTTCATTATTTTCATTCATTTCATTCTTTAATCCACTGTATATCTTTTTACAAGTTAAATAAATATATCTTTCTTGTCTTATATTATTTAATTCTTTATATAATATATTATCATAACATTCATTTTCAATATTATTTAATATTTCTATTTTATCGAAAAATATAAATCCAGATTTTGGTTTAAAATCATCCTTATTATCATTTTTTTTATCTAATAATGATATTTTTACATTTTCATATTCTTTTAAACAATTTAATCTTCTTTTTCGTATTTCTTCTAATTCATTATATATATTTGTATTATAACACAATGCTTCAGGTTTTCCAAAAAATTGAAATATTTCATTATGGTATTTTATTTGGAAATTTGAAATTTCTGAATCAACTTTCATATTATTAAATAAACTATTATGAATAATTTGACATGATAATTTTTTTAAATTTATTTGTCTAATTTCATTTAATTCATTATAAATATCTAAATTTTTACATTCATTATATAATAGTGTAATTTTATCAAAAAATTTAAATCCAATTTCTTTTTTATAATTTTCAACATTTTCAATTTTATAATCACTTTCCATTTCATTTTTTAATAATTGAACTTTTTGATGACAATCATTATTATCTTCTAAATTATTTATCTTATCTTGAATTATTTTAAATAATTCATTAAATTGTTTTTGTCTTTGTTCTGCTATAGATTTAAAATGAGCTATTTGCATATCTCCTCTTATTTGTATTAATTTTAATAATTCATTTTTATTAATACTACTATCCAATAACTTTATATTATTAATATATTTTATGTATTCTTTTATTTAACCTTGTTCAAGATTTTTAATTCTATTTAATACATAATTTAAAAAATCTTTATAATTTTTCGGCCAAAGTAAATTTAACTTTTCGAGTCGTTTATTATTTAGATTATTATAACTAATTTCATCTATACATTTTCCCCTTTCTCCAAAATTTTCATTAATATCTTTTAAATGTTTTCCATCACCTTCAAAATCTTTAAGAATATCACTATTTTCTAATTCATTTAAAATTTTATTATATTGTTGATCACATTCTTGATATAACTTTTTATATTTTTGTATTCTAAAATTATTTAAGTCATTATAAACTTCTTCTTCACATTTTCCTTTTAAATTTTGAATTTCATGAAAATGTAATCCAGTAGTATCAATATAATTAATAATTACTGGATCATTTTCCATAGATTTTAATAACCGAATACGTTGAATTTCACAATAATGTTTTAATCTTAAAGATTATAATTCATTATATATTTTTATATCTACACATTCACTACCTTTATTAAAAAGTTGAATTTGATGAAAATATTTATTACCATCAGTAAAAAAAATAAATTTATTTTCTGCAGGATCATACATATTTTTATCTCCATCATCAAAATATTTTCTTTTATCTTTTTCCATATCTTCAATAATTTTCTTTTTTTCTGATAAACAATACTTTTTGTTTTGACTTTTTTGTTGTAATGTTTGTAATAAAATATTATCTTTACATAATTGTTGAATTTTTTTATCAATATCTATTAATAAATTTATATCTTCTAAATCTTTAATTTCTTTTAGTAAATTTTGACATTTTATTTTATCATCAAAATTATCATCAGTTTCCATTTGATTATTTTCATCTTCAAATTCTATTTGATTTTCATCATCAGTTTCCATTCGACTATTTTTATCATCAGATTTTATTTCATCATCAATTTCCATTTCATCGGATTTCATTTGATTTTTTATTAAATATTTTTCTCTTAAATAATGTAATATTGTTTTAATATCAAAATTATTTAAATTTTCAATTAAATTATACCAATATTCATTTATTTCTAATTTTTTAATCACTTTCTTTGTTTTAAACTTATTAAAAGTAACATTCATTAATTTTAAATTTTCTTTATATTATTCACATTTAAAATTATCAATTATTATTTTCCAATTCCAATTTTGATAAACCTCATTTTTGAAATTATTTAATTCCATTTTATATTTCTCACTTTCATTTAAACAAATTTGATTAATTCTTGTTTTATTTAACTTTTGTTTAATAATTCCATCGTTAATTATATTTATACAATTTTTCCATGTAGTTTCTAATTTATTTATATTATTTTCACTTTTTATCAATTTTTCTATTTTTATAAATAATTCATTTACCTTATTTTTTCTATTATTATTTAATATATCTTTAATAAGTTCATTATTAATAAATTTATTAATATCAATATGATATTTTTGATCATCTTCAAATAATTTCAACTTATAAACATTATTACCATCTTTAATAATATTATATGAAAGTTTCATCATATTTTTTAATTCTAATATATAACTTTCACAATAAATATCCTTATCAATATTTTTTTTAATAATTTCAAAATCTTTCAAATTAGATATATCTTTCATTTGATTTATATAATTTTCAAATAATGTCTTTTCTTTATCGCATGCATATTTCTCTATTTTTTTAAGAATTTCATTTTTTAATTTATTATCTTTAATTTCAGAAACCTTTTGTATATCATTCTTAGTTAATTTATCAAAATCTATTAAATTATTTAAATGATTAAATTTTATTACATCATTTTCGTCCGATTCACGTATATAATCGACTTCATATTCTTTTAAAAAATTTAAATACGATTGTATAAGATAATTACTAGGTTTTTTTTGTTTATTAACAATAATTTCACGTTGAAAACAATTTAATTTAGACATTTTTAATTAATCTTTATTAACAAATAATTAATACATTTATAATATAAAATAAAAACAAATAAAAATTTAATAAATAATAAAAAAAAAATTAAAATTCTGTTTGTTCGAATTTTTTCTTTTTAAGTCTATCATTCTCCTCTTCTAAATCTCTCATTCTTTTATTATTATACCCAAATGCTTCAACTGCCGACCTTTTATTGTCAGTAATTCTTTTAAAGAATTCTATAGGATCTGCTTCAATTGGTGGTTTAATTGCAAATGTTTGTAATAATTTTCTATCCAAAAGCCATGATTTCCCTAATTCACCATTTTCACGATTA